ATTTTTGTCTAATGATGTAATATCGATATAATTTTTCTACTTTTGAAAAGGTTTTTGATAGATTAATAATTTTGATTGCATCGTTTTTTAAAAAACAATGAATACAACTAAATTTCTTTGAATTAACAAATATTCGACGACAGAACTAGATTAAAAGAAATATATACCTATCTGAATAAATACATAAAATATATATATAAAAAAAAAACGAGCAACACACGAAGTTGATTCACTATGTATACAAGTTATAAACTACTTAACCTGATCAATTGAATCAATAAATGGTCTATTGAAGAGACTGCTAATACTCTTTTTCAAGGTAAAATTAACTCAAATATACGATAAAATATCATTGATTACAATATCTGCATATATGTCCAATCTATTCAATAATTAAATATCAGATATTCACGGCAACACATACACATGAGATAATATCAAAATATCTAAAACAAAAAAATGTCTTTAATAATTGAATTCAATCCTTCCGATTTGACACTATTAAACATATTTAACTATAAAAATTATATATTTCGAATTGATGAAAATTTTCATTTAATTATAGCAATATAATCTGTTTAACAAGAATGTACACACATATATCGATATATAACAATGAAAAAAAAGCAAACATGAGAAAATACATGTAATTTGTCATTTAATACTTTGCTTTATCCAAGGACAACAATTAAGAAAATTTCATTGAAATAGATTTCTTAATATTTATATATATATATATATATATTTATTTATTTATTGTCATAGATGAGATAAAAAATTGTATTTAAAAATTTAAACAAAATAATTTAAAAAAAAAAGAAAAAAAAAAGAAAGAAGAATAAATTTGAAAATTGTTTTGTATTATGTATTTAATATAAAATAGCTGTATCATCTCGTAATTGTGCTAATCGAGCTTTACGTATTAACGTTAAATTTGAAAATTTATTTGTACGAATATATATAGGTTCAAGTGAATTCTGATTACTTGAATTTGTTTCGATTATTGTTGATGGTGGTGATATTGAACGATAATAATCAAATGGTAATAAATCGGTTGTTTGACGACAACTTTGAGTATATTTTAATGAATGTTTTCGACGTTCTTCTTGTTTTAAACGTAATACATGATCAAGTTCATTTAGAAAACGATAGTGTACATTATTTAGATTTTCATGAGTACCTGTTAAATTTGAAACTGTTGTTAATACAGTTGATGATGAAGCATAAACAGGTTCATTTGAGGGATTTTTATAATAACTAAAAACAAAAAATACTATTTTTATAGGGGAAAAAAAAATTCTTTTGTTTAAAATAATAATTTATGTATTTTTACCAATGCTTTTTTGGTAAGGTTTCTTCATAATGCCATGAATTAGCTGTTAATGTTGATTCACTAGTAAGTAATTTATCTAAATTTTTTACATTTTGATTAATTAAATGTGGCGGATCAAATGATAATGTCAAAGCTGAATCATTTGTATTAAATCTTCTTTTCTTTCTTTTTCTTTTCTTATTAATGATATTATTATTATTATGATTTAATTTAATTGAAGGAAATCTTTGTGTACGTTGATATTGTTGTCGATGATATGATGATATAGGAGGTGAATTATTTTCTTCATTTGAATTCATACGTTTAGTTTTCAAACGATAATAACGAATAATAAACCAAATTATAAAACAAATAATTAATAACATACATATAAGACCAACAATACTTAATATTATTGTTATAATTATTTTATCACGTGCATCCAAAGACATTGTATTTTAGAAGAATATCTATAAAGGACAAGCAAAGAAAAGAAAGAAAAAGGATTTGAAAATGTTATTGCTCATTTTTTTTTTACGAGTTTCATTTTAGTAATGGACACATTTCTCTCGTGCTGTGCTCGTTTATACTTAAGTTAATCGACGCTGAATTGCACATATACATATGCTGACATATTGTCACCTCATATTGAATGAGTGAGCAATCTTTTTTTTTTCCTGAACTATCGTGCACATATGTAGACTTTTTTTTGTGCCTTTCTCCTTCACTCTCGCTGAACAACAGTACAACATATTATAGCAAGAGAAAAAAGAAGAACAAACGAGAATATGATTTGAACTCAACTTGTGTGCAACAGCACATCGTCGCGACAATTTTTTTCTCTCTCTCTCTCTTTCTCTACCTCTCTTCTGTTCTTTCATGATTAGATTTGCAATTGCAGACACACTTCGATGTGTATGTATGTGTTGTTTGTTAAAGAAACCTCATTTAGTGTTGATCGGTACGTATATAAAACGAAAAGAAAGAATTATAGTACACAGAACTACTATAGTATGGATTAAAAAAAGAAAAAAGTGAGAGTTAAATGACTTTTGTGGTTATATTAAAATGAGCAAATAGACTAAAGACTATTAGTACAATGATTTCTATGCACGAAAGAGAATTGCTGATTACCATCTGTTGCTTACCTGTCAATAGAATGATAATTTCCACACAGAATCATGTCATTATTAAAATGAATTGGAAATGTATAATATTTCTATCATACTATTTGAATATTTTGTTCATAAATATATCATTATTCTTCTTCTTTTTTTCGTTAGATGAAAATGCAAAAAATAATCTAGTTTATAATTCTCCAATGGGGGAAGTTAATAATAAAAAGTTTGCTGATAGAATGTCATTAACATCTATATAATAAAAATGAGTCCATTGGATATTAAATATTGCATAGTCTAGAAAAAAAATGAAAAAGAAAAAAAAAAAAAGAAAGTTTTATTCATTTTTTTTTTTCAATAAAATGAAAACATTTATATGTTGTCATCATGAGAATTGAATAAAATGTTAAGAAGGACAAGTCGATTCGATTACGTTTAAAATATTCAGGTGAAACAAAAAAAAAGAAAGAAATTCGATTTTTCTTCTTTCAAGGCTATGATATTGATATTTCAAGTTTTAATTTACTATTTCAAGGATATTTTTTTATAGTATCGATTGTGTAATAATTATATTGTTCTTTTCTACATTCCGATGAATTCTTATGATCAACTATTGACAATAAAAATAAAAAAAAGGCACTTCGAAATATGTTGACATTGAACAAGAAAAATTTCAATTAGTTTTTCAATAAACTAACTGCTTTTCATAATTTATTGTAAAATAGAATTATTTATTATTATTATTAGTTTTTTTTGCTCATAATAATTCTTGCTATAAGTATATTATTGAGTACCCTTGAACATAATAATAATTGCAACATTATTAAATATGATTAAGTACAAATAATGATTGTAACTAACATATAATTTTTGTCATAGTTAGATTTCGATCTAAATATACTGATTCAAATTTAAAACAATGTCGTCTATACTTAAAGAATCTCTTTATATGTAAAGTACAATTAAACATAAAATATTCATATCTATATGAACAATGAATCGAATAAAAATTTTTGAGTACTGTCATGGTCTAAGTTAACCATTAATATTGAAAGATCATTCGATTGCTGTACTGTTTCATAGTATATCTATGCAAATACTTATATGTGACTATATTAGTCTTTTTAAATCCGTAAAATTTTCGAGTATTTTCTTATTAATTTCATCATAATCTTGTACATGAAATTTGTCATGTCAATAAAATTACTTTTACATGCAAAAACAAATTTCATATTTTTTAATCTTTTTTTTTTTTTTTTTTTGAATAAATAAAAACATTCAAGATTAAGAGTTTGTCTTCCTTTCAAACAAAAATATTTATAATAATTGACAACGTATTAAAACATTTTAACTATTTAGTTTCGATGATAAATTAAATTTTCATTTTATTATTTTTAAATCATAAGAAGACAAGAGCAAAAGCAAGAATAAATTAGGTCAATTAGCGTCTTTTTTTTTCTTTATTTTTCATCTTTGTCACACATTTTTTTTACACCTTTAGCTAAAAGTAAACCACCAAGGACACCAAGTAGAGCAGCAGCTGCTGGTTTTAAATATCGTGCAAAATCAGATTCAGTATCTTCTTTTTTCATTCGTTGTATACGATCTTGAATTTGTTGTGCATAACCAGGTGGGCGATCGGGTGTTATAGTACCATATTGTCGTTCGATTATATCACGTACAATATAATTTCCCGGAAGACTATCAATTGAATTATGTATTAAATTTGATGGTACGCGACATGTAGGACCTATTGTTTTTTTTTTATAGTTCAAAAGAAAAAAAAAGTAATTAGAAGAAAATAAATGATTTCAGGAAAAAAGAAGAAATAGAAAAAAAAACTTACAAACAATACTATTTGAAGACCCTAATCGACGTGACGATGATTCATGATGTACTTTTAAACAATTAGCACAAAATGTATGTTGACAATCGAGAACTTTTGGATCATGTAATATATCCAAACATATGGGACATTGAAGAAGATCATCAAAATTTGATGCAGTAGCCATAAAAAATTTATTATTAATACTAGAAACAAAAAAGAAGGAAAGGTTTTAAATGTACTTGCGGGATAAGTAACAAAACAATAAATTATTCAAGGATATGAAGGATTACCAGTAAAAACCATTCTTTTATAAAGAGTTGATCATATATAAATATACATTATATTTATCTTTCTTTTTCTATGAATATTGTGATTATCAAATCTTTTCTTAGATACACTTAGATTTATCCTTGATTAAAATCATACATAAACAAAGGTCTTATGTCAAAGTAAAAGTTTTTCGTAATCGGATATATTTTTAGTCTTAAAATACATTTCATTTCATAAGTCATTTTGAAATTTTTTAGTTTTTAATACAATATTAAATCTTTGAATCATTAGAGTTCAACTTACCACAAAGAAATCAACTGTTTTTATTTTTGTTTTTCTTATATTATTCTTAATTAAAATATTAATCTAAAACAAAAAAATACAAATAAGATTAATTTAATTTAATCTGACATAAATAATACAATAAGAAGGAAAAGAAAATTTTTATGATAAAAGAAAAGTAAAATAAAGCTTATTCTTCATGAGATGTCGATTGTTTTTGATTATTGCTACCAAGAAATCCTTCATTAATTTTTCTTAATTCGTTGCGAGCATTTTTAAAAAATGTTGTCAATTCTGGTCCACCCGATGATTTATTAAATACAAATCGTCGTACAGCATCAAGTGGACTTAGTGATTGTTCAGTAGTATTATCATTGATTTGTGGTAAAGTATACGTTTCACGTAGTGATGATGATAATTCCGAACAATCAACTGTTTTTGATTTAACAAGTGATGAGGTATTAATAGGTTTCTATATAAACAAAACAAAATAAAATAATTTTTAACATTGAATAACTAATAATTATATACTATTGCTGAAGCTAAACCATCATCTTCTTCGTCATCAAGAGAATCATCTTGTTTTGTATTTATATCAGCGACTGAAAAAGAAAACAAAAATTCTTTCTCTTGCAAGAATAAAGCATTTTGTATTACCAGATGCATAAGGCTCAGGATATTTTTTATTTAATTGTGTTTTAAGTAATCTAAAATAGAATATTATTTGTAACGACATAGATATTAAAATTTTCTTTTCGTTATACTTAATTTGTTTAAAAATCAAGTCAAGATCTCTTTTCATAGTTATTAACATTTGTGTATGATTTGCAAATTCTTTTGTTGCATCTACATAACGTTCAGCTGATATTTTATTAATTCCATCCAATTTTTCATTTGTTTTATCCAATTGTTCAAGTCTAATTTAAAAAAAAAAACCAAAAAAAAATTTAAAAATGAAAATTTTTCTTTTATAGAAAAAAAAAAATTTCATAAATATACAATAAATTTTGTGCATGAAGTAGTCCATTAACATCTTGTTTATTGATTTCATTTGAAAACAAATCTATAAGCAACGATGCGGTTGTGTCTGATGTATGAGCAGTTGAGTCATCATTTGCATCCATTATGAATATAAATACTCTAAAATGTAATGACGTAAAAAAAAAAAAAAAATTATATTGTTGTTTACTTTTCTAGAATGACTTGGTCGATTCATGAATCATAATGAGAAAAAAATCATTTGATAATGATCTATTTGTAATTTGATTTAAAAATTAGATATTTAAAAGCAAAAAACATTGTTTTTATTTACAGGAAAACTTATTTATATCCTTTTGCAATTCATACTGGGTTTTTTCCGCATTGATTAAGTTAGAAAGAATAGTCATAAATTGGATTAGTTAGTTAAATAAAATAATTTATTATCTTTTTTTTTGTATTTAGGAAACAACAAAGATGATTATTTCCTAACTGATTTATGTTTATTTTTTTACAATATAAAAAACGATAGAATGACAACATTATAGTTAATTATCTAAATACATTGTATGTTAATGACCTCTGTCGATAACAATAGTTATTTTATCATAAGGCAAAATCTATCATAAAAATAAAACTTTTTATATATAGTTAGTTTAAAAAAATTGACTAAGTTTAAGTCAAATCATAACCTTCACTAGTCAATTAACAAATTGAATATATAAACAGCCCTATGATGAATTGGAATTAAGACATTCAATTTTGATATACGAAATTGATAATGCAAGAACTATTTGTATTCATCTTTTTTTTTTTATACAATCATTGATCAAAATCTATGAATTATCAGTAGATTTAATTCAGATAAAGATCTCCAATCGAATGATAATAATAACCGTGGTTGTGTTTTGTATCAAACACAAATAAACAATTAATATATCAGCAAATGGTGTATTAGTACATGTAAACATTATTACACATTATATGCGTATATGAATAATCTATCTTTTTCCTATTGAATACTAAGGTAAGTGTCTTACTATAGTCAATAAGATTTTAGAAAATCACTGGCTGGGAAATCAAAATGATTGCATACAAATAGTTCTTGCATTATTATAGTCCTATATCAAAATTGATTATCTTAGAAAATTGAAAGAAATGAATGTAAGTTCAATAAGTCAACAACGACAACAGCAATTGAGAGAGTAGAATTTCGTACGTCGTTTTGTCTGATATTATATAAGACAAAATCATTTTAAAACTCGTCATCTTTGAAAAACTTTCAAAAAAAATGCATGGAAATGATGTTCTTTTTGAAGGAAATTTTGATTGATACATGTATTTCAGATCTATAGTTCAAGGCATGATTCAGGTGATTATTGTCTCGTATATCAATGTTGAGCAAACAAAATTTTTTTTAAAAGTTTTCAAAGATGATGAGCTGTAAAATAACTTTGTCTCATATTACACTACAAAAAATGCCATCATCATCAGTTGAATTAGCTTATGCAAAGCTAAGCAATTGACTAACCTGTCTGATACATTGCTGATATTGATTATATGAGCAACAAAATCATATTTTTCATTATTGAATTGATCTCTATTGTATTTAATAACGATGAATTCTTTCAATTGTAACTAATTAGACATTTCTGAAATAACGCAGAGCCGAAAATTTCATTGTTTATATGTTTTTGAAAAAAATTCTTTTACAAAAACTTATAAAAAGTCAAAATTTTTTTAGAGAAGATGTTCTTGTGAATAATGAATAAGATCTTGATTTTGACTATTCCATAATTTACTATACTTGATACTCAGATGAACGGATCAATCAAAACAGCACTCGAGATACTGACTTTCTGTATCTAGATAACTATATTCTCAACGGCTCCAATAGGTAATATTTCATAGATTGAAAATATTAACAAGATGATCTTATGAATGCATTAATACCAGGATTGTCAGATCTTTCGAAATAGTAGAAAAAACTACGAATTTTTATATTTTATTAGTATGATTATAATTTCTTTCCAGCAATTAATGCACCCTTCGCTATACTAGTGTAATCATTATATAGTATAGAATTTTCGAGACTATTAATAATGCACGTTTTCTTGAATCTAAAGCCTTTTCCGAACTAAGTTGAACAGATTGAGAGTATAAGTGAGATGAGAGAAGACAAGAAACATAAAAAGCTGATCGAACAAAATATGTTTCAATAAAAATAGACAATATGTGTATTTAAACATCGAATAATTATCTTTCGCATTTTCATTACTAAAATTCTGATTTATAGCATTTCAATCAAATAATCACGTAATTTCGCATAGCAAAATAATACGTTAATGATTTATGATCATGTAATGATTGTATTCTTTCGAAAATGTGCTTCGTCTTTCAATCATTCTAGTGTCTTTTAATAGAAATCTTCAATGCATTGTAAAATACTAAATATCCTACCGTTGAAATATCATGTAAGAAATTTCAATTATAACAAGATTTTCTAATTATTAATACTTTGTCTATTGCATTTGAAACATATTTGCTCATTAAAAATATATGAGTGATCTATATGATTTTCTATATTGCATATATTTTAAGAGATAACAATCGGTTAATAGCATAGGGAAGGATAAAAAAAACATTAGATTAACTATCTTTTATCTTTATTTGTATATTAATCTCAATTATTTATCTGATAATTAGCTCCATCTATTTTTATTTTTTTATATACAATTTCAATCAGAGATTGGTCAATATATTGCAACCAACATATCAACACTACTATCTACTGATGCGATGATCACAATAGAAGAGAGAAAAAAAAAAATAAGAACAAATACTGGATGAAAGAAAACAAAAAGAGAGAGAGAGAGACAGAGAGAGAATTGATTTGTCACCTTGAAACAAAAACAAAAAAAAGAGGAAATATTTGTTGTCCAATTTTTCTTTTCCTTTTTCTTTATTAGATGCTATTGTCAATGTTTCATTGCTAAGCTCTCAAATAAATTTATCCTATTTTTTTATTCAATGCCTCAAAAAAAAGAAAAAGACGAAAATATATTAATAACCGATAGTAAAACTATGTTTCTTAAACGTGCACTTGAAAAATTATTAAATGAAAAAGATATTAAAAAATCTCAATATCAACAATTAAAACGAGCTTGTGAAACAGCATTAACATCAATTACAAAAGATATTCAAATATCTCAGTAAGATCATTAACAAAAAAAAAGATCTTTTCTTTTGTTTCATTTATTTTATTTAGAGTAAATGAATCATCTATTTTACCATCTACAGATCAACAATCAATTAATGCTGAAAAATATTTTCTTCCATTTGAATTAGCTTGTACAACAAATCATCCACGAATGGTTGATACATCACTTGATTGTCTTCAAGTAAATATTTTTGTCTATTAATTATATTCCACTTGATTGTTTTGTTATTAAAAAATAGAAACTTCTTTTACATGGACATTTACTTGGAAGTATTGCTGATCCAATTGATCCATCAAAATTATTAATTGATCGTATTGTATCAACAATATGTAATTGTTTTCGTGGTGTACAAACAGAAGAACAAGTTGAATTACAAATAATCAAAGTTTGTTTTTTTGAATTTTATTATTTATAAAAAAAACAAAAAAAAACACGACATATTAATTTTAAGGCACTTTTAACTATAATGACATCTCAAGTAATTGAAATTCATCAACGTAGTGTATTACAAATAATAAAAACATGTTTTAATATTTATTTAACAAGTCGTTCGAAAATAAATGAAGCAACAGCACAAGGATCTTTATCACAAATGTTAAATGGAATATTTTCAAAAATGGAACAAAAAATGGTTAAAAGAAAAATTTTTTGTGTTTTTAATAAATTAAAATAAAAAAAAGAAAATATTCTTTTAGGTATTATTAAATGAACGACGAAAACAATATCAAGAAGAATCAACAACTTCAATATCGAATAATATTGAACAAGAAAATGTATCAATAGGTAAAATTATTATTATTATTGTTTTTTTTTTTTCTTAAAACAAAAAATCAAAAAAAATATATTTTAGTTGTTAATGAAATTCTTGATGAATTAGTAGAAAAAATATGTTATGGTAAGCAAAAGATTGTTTGATAAGATTTAATAAGTATTTTTTTTTTTTTAGATGAAGCAACACAAGAAAAAGAAAATACTCATTTATCAACTAATGAAATTATTGAAGATACACAAGCAACACAAGAAGAATTTCATAATGGAAGATCAAGAAATGTTTTAGGTATATTTAAAAGTTTAAATAAAAGTATAGAAACACTTCTGTTTTTCTGACTGAAACTTTTTTCATAGATACTATACATTGTTTGAGATGAGCATAATGATTTTTCTGATGAATTGTTCTCTAGAAATCTCGGAGGATATCAGTAAGAGATTTTTTTATAAGGAAATCTTCATATTAAAATTTTGTATTAAGGTTATTTTATTTCTTACTGATTGATATGATATATCATCACCTGTATCTTTATCGTGTTGATACGAGTCTCATGATAGAATTATGTGTTTATCTAGACAATGATAAATAGAAATCGTATTTGTATGAAATTAAAATTATTTTGAATAAGAATGTATTTATAAAGATTATTGTTAAAATCAATTAATATAGAAGAAATCTATTGTAGAAATTGATTTTTTTAGATTATATGAATGTTCTTATGATTTTTCATGCGTCTACTGACGAAAGAATAATTTCAACTAATCAATCGCTTTCTCATCAAAAAAAAAAATAAACTATTAGATTATTGACTATCGAATATATATCATGAGAAATCACCTTAGATCTTCATATTTTCAGATTAATAAGAATTTTGTATCAGATCAGATTATAGAGCATATGAAATTATAATCTTTTCTCTTTTTTAATAATGACCTTTAAGTAAATTAGTATTATCTTGAGGATTTTTACATTTAAATATTAATATATCCCAAGTGAAATAATCATGATCGTAAATGATTATAACTTATCGTATATTAGCATATTATATGGCTCAGTTATTACAGTCGTATTGCTTCGTATGTGATATACCGAAGAATACAATTGTTTTTACGAACATCAATGTCATCGTATACAATACGCAAATATATGATTGTAATACTAAATCATGCAATAAATCAAAATATGAAATGTGTACAAATTTCATTCTGAAAGTATCGATTGTATGAACAGTCTGGAAGGTTGTTTTTCTAGAAAACCAAAATATTTAAGACCTAAGGAAATTTCTTATTTTCATATTCGGTATTAACATGATTTATGAATATAAAAATTTTGATTTGATTAAAGAAAAATAATAATATTTCATTCTGTAGTTTTTAATATTTTCTCTCTTGTTTTCTTTATTATCTAGATTCTCAATCAAGTGGTGATCCATTGTCTACAAAGAGCACAATATCAAATTCTTTATCAACTGATGAATTATCAGCTGATAATTGTTTTAAAAATGCTTATTATGTCTTTCGTGCACTATGTAAATTATCCGATCGAGATATTAAAGATAAAGCAAATACAGATCCAAAGTATGTTAATATTTGTATTTAATCGTTAAAAATCGAGGATGAATTTTGTTTTGGTTTGTTGACAATTGACCGCTAAAATAGAGATTCTAAACATTCAATATGATCATATAATAGATAAAATTTTCTTTTTCTTATAGAGAGATTGTCCTTTGAAAGAGATATCCGGTCTTAATGGGATGAATGCATCATTTATCTGAGAAAATTTTTTAATAACACTGCACTTTTTCTTTCATTAGAGCACTATCCTGTGAGTCCAGCAAAGTATCACGAAATGAAGAGGCGTCCGACTTCCTTCCCCTCTAATTTTACCTCGCGATAGTCCTTACAAAGTCTCAAAGTAGTCAAGAACTTGTCACATAGTAGTCTTAGTCCGGGAATATACTGATTTTTGCATATGAAAATTACAATAACTCTTGGAAGAGACATTCGATTTTGAAAAGTTAATTATTATTTTGAATGTTTGTTTTTCTTTATTGTCTATTTTATTTTCAGAACTAATTTGGATTTAAAATCTCGAATATTTTCATTACGTTTAATAATGCAAATACTTCAAACATCAGGTCCAATATTTCGTTCATCAGAAGATTTTCTTTATGTTATTAAAACATATTTATGTGTATCATTATCACGTAATGGTGTTTCAGCAATACCAGAATTATTTGAAATGGCTTTATTTAATTTTGTTGAATTAATTGATAAATTTAAAGCATATTTAAAAATACAAATTGAAGTATGTTGTTTTGTTTTTTTTGTTATTTTATATTTGATGATGAGAATTTATCTATATCATTTATTATTGAATGTCGAAATTCTTCTTCTAATTCAAGTGTATATTTATTTGAATCATATTGAATAGTTGAATTTAATTCTAATGATGTTTTAATTAAATTTTCATTTGAATGAATATTTGAAATAGATGATGATATTTGTGTAAGATAATCTTCTATTTTTTGTTCACATAATTCACATAATTCAAA